AATATACATTCATTTTATTAACTTTCTCACACATACTTTACTCACAGGACAAGACTTGGAAAACAGTAGCCTAGGGTAATTTAATTGAGATGTGTGTGACCAGCCAGTTATAATGTTTGGAAATTAATATTTGTGCAGTCAAAATCTTTTACGGTCCAATCAAGCAGGGCGTGGTTATGTTGATTAGCTAATAGTGCACGTTTTAGCTTTCCTTGCAAGCACATTACACTAGTAGTAAAATGAGTCATTTTGAACTTTGGGGTTAAAATGTTAAAAATTTTGGTTGATCTAGTGTTGTGATTGTCAGGAGGGTCTGCCTGACAGATTAGAAGGCAGGGTTTCCTTGACGAACATGTGTAACCCTCATGTAGGGATATTGGAGCACGGAATTTCATTATCTTGTAGAGCTCGAGGTAACTGTGGTATGTATAGAGATTTTGTATAGCTAGAATATTATTATGCTTGAATATCGGTTTGGTGTGCTCTTTTATGAAGAATTTTTGGTCTAGTTTCTGGTGTCCTATAGGCCTAGTACGTGCACAAGTCTTAAACTTATCATGGTACGCCAGTCTATCACCAAATAGTACTCTGAGACAGTACTTCTGAGCAGTAAATAATGAGCTTATACGTTGCTTCGCTGCCCCACCCCATACAGATATACAATAGGAAAGATGTGATTCGAACAGGGTATAATATAATTGTTGGTGTAGAAATTCTGGAAGGGAGCAGCAGAGTCTACATAAAGTGGATGTGGAATGATGAAAAGTACATTGAAAGTACATTCTTGGCTACTATTAGACTCACAATATTTCAAAATAAGCTAATAGTTCGACTTAACATAAAAGTAGGACATGCCCTAAATAAGGAGGGGATGGTTTGGAAAAGCTTATATACACATGTAATTTCTAAACAACAGATATGTGTAGATAAAAGTGGTTTGTTGATATGAGGGCGAGATAGGATACTTCATTGAGGACCTCGAATTTAAATGGTTTAAAGGATGAGCCGTCTAGCAAATGAAAAGTTAAAGTAAAGTAAAGTAAAATTTATGACATCACATCATCACACATTTCTACAAAATATCATTGCACTATGTGAAAAAATATATAATAAATATTTCCCCACCAACATTAATTATTTATCAAATACAATATTTAGAAACAATTTTATCAAAAACATTATCCTATTTTAAAAACTTTCCAGTGGAATAAAGATTTATAAAACGCTTCTTTGCCACATAAGGATGGAACCAAAGATAATTGTTATGTTTCTCTTTATTACTGACATAACTGGCTCCCTCAATTCTTACTAGAACTTCATTAGAAACATTCCAAAAAAAGCAATCAGTTGTAATACTTTTAGAAATCATATCTATCTTATATCCTTCTAATTTAATTTTAAAACCTAAAACTGTCACAGAGTTCTTGACGTCCGGAGGGAGTTTGTTCCAATATGGAATAACTCGCTCCGGGAGAAAGGACTTCTGGATATTCTTTACTTGACCTTTGTCACACTTTTACTACATCTATTGGATGAAACCAGATTAAGACCTGATCTGCTTGGTCTGAACAAGTCTGAACCATAATCAGTCATACCATTAATTACCTTAAAAGCTTCAATAAGGTCCCCACGTATTCGCTGCTCTGCCAGCGTTGTCAAATTGAGGATTTCCAGTCTACGGCTGTAAGGAAGAGTACCCACCTCATCAATCAGACGGGTAAACAAATTCACATCACAACAAAAAGCAGTTTAGACCCCCATCCAACAAGCACTCCATGATAGAGATTTAAAAAAATAAATGTATATATCAAATGTATATAAACTAAATCAAAATCCTTTTTACGTAACTTATAAATACACTAAACATTTTATTTATTTATGACTTTTCCTCCAAAATCAGGCAGTACGTTGCGGTACTGGCCTTAACGGGTGATACTTGTAAAATATTTGTCTCAAATATTGAAACCCTCGTAGAGTTCAACTAAGCTTAGCGCGCATTATTAACGGAAGTTGACGCCCCGCGCGCATTGTTATAGTTGCTTGAGATTATAAATTGTTGTTTTCTTGATTGTAGTTGTAGCGCGCTCACTAAATCGCTCGCCCAAACTTTTTTCATTTAACTGTTAATGCGTATTTTCGCATTGGATAAATTGCAAAATTGGTTTTGCTGTCAGGAGTGCTGCGCTGGTTCTATATCCTCAGTAGTTTGCTTCAAGCTCAGTTAACGTCTAGCCTTAATAACACCTTATTCAGTTATTCTATACTTCATATTTGACTACACTATTTACTCGATTAAAAGTCTGTTATTCATGATCAAAGGTATAGCATGTTAATTTCGAGTGATTAAAACTTAAAGTTCATCGCCAATGGTCAATTTGTGCTTTCGTTAACAATTTCAGGTTTACTGCCGAGTTTTTGTTGGGTTGACCATTTTGTGGAAATCTACCGGATCAGGATGTCTCCATCCATTCGTGTCCCACTAAAGCTTCATCAAAAACAAGGTACATATACGTACACTTAGAACACCTTCACCATTCAACTCTACTCCAGCTTCTATCAATCACGATTTTTCACTATCACTGTTTCATACATCTTTCAGCCGTGCAACTTCATTATAAGCAGCTGTTTCTGGTTTCGATTGTTAATCATATTTTTGAGGTTTGAAGTGTCGTTTTTTCCCTGAATTTGCTGGTATGTAAAATTAGGTGGCTTACGTAATAATATCGATTGACAGCAATGTAAATAATGTAAATGTTAGTGAACACTCAAATTATTTGTTGTCATTCCTTATTTATGGTTGTTCTTGTCTCAGTGATTTTATGTAGTCGCAATTTATTTAAGCTGACTATCAAAACCTTCCCCTCAGCTTGTTTTAACATAATATCATTTGAAATCATAATTGGACAGTGGTCTCCCAAAGAGAGTGCTCCTTAAAATACCCAAACTCAGACGCCTAACATCACTGCACCAGCAATATGAGTTATCATGTAGAAAGGAAACCAATCTTACTGCTCAATTCCCATTATATTAAAAGATTTTATATTTAGATCTTCTAAAATCTGGAGCACGTCATAGCGCCAAAACTCAAGCTTCTTGACTACTCCTATAAAGATAGCCTCGCTCAAAGATAAAACATCCGATAACTCGCTACAATTACAAATAATATACTACAAACAATGTATATGGACACGTTCATTTGAGTTTGAGGATATTGGCAGTGGCGTAACGAAAGGCCCTGCTGACCCCGCTGTGCAGGGGGGCGCCGTCTTAGGGGGGCGCCAAATCGTCGTTTGAATGTTGGACAATTTCGAAAACTTAACTAAAGTACTAGCAAAACTGCGCGTTTTGCTCTAGATACACACTTTTTTAGAGATTTTACCGGCGTATTCTTTAAAATCACCTAATTTGTTCAATTTTAGGGAGGGGCACCAAAAGGGGAGGGGGCGCCAACAGGGGGGCGCTTTTTTCGGCAGGGGGGGCGCCAACAGGCAACGTTACGCCACTGGATATTGGTAAACAAAAATGATAGCGTTTTCGACGATAGTGGCTTAATTTTGACATATATTAACCTAGCACGTTCAGAAGTTCTGAACATTATAATAGCCACGTAACCCATACTCCCATATGCACTGCTCAGATAGAAAATCTATTGTTGTTAGGCACTATAATGGTTCAAATGTCACATTTTGTGTGACTTAGTTAACTGCAGTTGTCTAACTATCATTCCTTGGTCTGAAATATAGTAGATTAGGTCAATCTAACAATTATGATACAACATTGGTTAAAGGGCACGGATCAATGAAACAAGAAATTCAATGAAACAACAAATTTAATTTTAGCACATTTTTACAGAATAAAAAGATGTAAAACAATTCATAAAATATAATGCCCATTTGGTGTATGACTTTTTGTCCTTGACTGCTAGTTTGGTTTTGGAAGGACAGGTAACTAACGGGGCAAGGAATGCGTGTGCCTGGAAGCTTTTGCACACACCGAAACGCTAATTCAGTTAAGTTTATAGAGACAAGGCTCAGATTAGGACTAGAAGAAAAATTGTTAGCAGACATTAAGGGTTCTGTTTATAGTTGTTATTATAGGTTACAGTCTTGTTGTGACAAAAAGTCTACACTAAAACATTCTTTAGTTTATATTGTGTAGTTCAAGGATATAAAATGCAGCTTCAAGCAGTGGCGTAACGAAAGGCCCTGCTGACCCCGCTGTGCAGGGGGGCGCCGTCTTAGGGGGGCGCCAAATCGTCGTTTGAATGTTGGACAATTTCGAAAACTTAACTAAAGTACTAGCAAAACTGCGCGTTTTGCTCTAGATACACACTTTTTTAGAGATTTTACCGGCGTATTCTTTAAAATCACCTAATTTGTTCAATTTTAGGGAGGGGCACCAAAAGGGGAGGGGGCGCCAACAGGGGGGCGCTTTTTTCGGCAGGGGGGGCGCCAACAGGCAACGTTACGCCACTGGCTTCAAGCTTTCAAGGTGGATATTGGAGAGCTGGCGAAAGATTATGGCCTTTGTATCAATGGTTTTAATAAGCTATAAATATCTTAAACTATACAGTGCTAATTAAGATTTCTTTAAACTTCATTCTCAAATTAGATTTTAAAAATTCAAAAGTAAATATACAATAATTTTATTAAAACTTTCTCACACCTCACACATACTTTACTCACAGGACAAGACTTGGAAAACAGTAGCCTAGGGTAATTTTAATTAGTTAATTGAGATGTGTGTGACCAGCCAGTTATAATGTTTGGGAAATAAGATTTGCGCAGTCAAAATCTTTGACAGTCCAATCAAGCAGGGCGTGATTATGTTGATTCGTTAATAGCGCACGTTTTAGCTTACCTCGCAAGCACATTACACTAGTAGTAAAGTCAGTCATTCTGAATTTTGGGGTTAAATGTTAAAAATTTTGGTTGATCTAGTGTTGTGATTGTCAGGTGGGTCTGCCTGACAGATTAGAAGGCAGGGTTTCCTCGAGGAACATGTGTAACCCTCATGAGTCATGTAGAGAGCTCCCGTTCTACCCAGAGACTGTTGAGTATACTACACCAAAAGGACACGCAATATCACCACAGGAAACTGTCAGAGACCTTGGAGTGTATGTTAGCAGCAGTAGGTCATGGGGTCCTCACATTGAGAAGACAGTTCAAGGAGCTAGAAAAATGGCGGCTTGGACATTGAGTGCCTTTAGAGACCGGTCACAAGTAGTCATGCTGACTTTATACAAAAGTATGGTTCGCTCCAAGCTAGAGTACTGCTGTCCAGTCTGGAACCCTACAAAAGTCACAGAGATACAAAAGCTGGAGACTGTACAGAGATCCTTTACTAGAAAGATATCTGGCTGCCGTGATCTCCAGTACTGGGACAGGCTGAAGAAGCTTAAGTTGATGTCCCTTCAGAGGCGGAGAGAGCGTTATTCTATTATTCATGTATGGAAAATTCTTAATGAACATGCTCCGAACGATACGGGCTTCGAGTTCAAGTCTCATCAAAGGCATGGTATTAAGGCAGAGATCCCAGCCATGAACAAAAACGCACAGTTGTCGGTAAGAACAGATTACGACAACAGCTTTAGAGTTAGAGCAGCTCAGCTCTTCAACGTGCTCCCATCGGAGCTCCGGAGTATCACATTGCTAGACAGTTTCAAAGTTGGTCTAGGCAGATTTATGGAACAGTACCCAGACACACCACCGGTTCCGGGATACACTCCGACAAACGATAACTCAATGCTGAGCTGGAGGAGGACGCACTCGATGCAGTTGTCCTGAGCACGCCCTGCCAAACTCACCAAAACGTACCAAAACAAAAAGTAACGTAGGGATATTGGAGCATGGAATTTCATTATCTTGTAGAGCTCGAGGTAACTGTGGTATGTATAGAGATTTTGTATAGCTAGAATATTATTATGCTTAAATATCGGTTTGGTGTGCTCTTTTATGAAAACTTTTTGGTCAAGTTTCTGGTGTCCTATAGGCCTAGTACGTGCACAAGTCTTAAACTTATCAAGGTATGCCAGCCTATCACCAAATAGTACTCTGAGACAGTACTTCTGAGCTTATACGTTGTTTCGCTGCCCCACCCCATACAGATATACAGTAGGAAAGATGTGATTCGAACAGGGTATAATGATTTTGATTTGAAACTTTTACAAAATAGCAAGTATACAAATGTACAGCAATTCGAAAAAACATATAAAATGGCCTGGGCCGAAATGTATAAATGCTAAAAAGCGTGGGTCAGTGAAACAAGTACAGAGGACAACTTTCAAAACAGGAGTTTTATGGCCGCCCAAAGTCTCAATAACATCACCTCCACCTAGTAATAAAATTATGAAATGTGAAAAGTGTGAAACAATCAAATAATAATGTATGTATATAATATAATTGTCTCTCAAATACAGATAACTTCCGTTAACTCTTAAAATACCCCTACAAGTACATATTATACTGATCGGTGGTGTCCGAGAAACATGAATTACGTCATCATGGTGTCTTCTTAACCCGGCTACAGACCTTCCCGTTACGGATGTAGTGGTCGAGATGAGTCTGTTCAGCCCTCTTCTTCTTCAGGTCAGTTACCACGTTCTTCCTTGCTGCACGCTCTTCACTGGATCTATCAGGACAGATCCATACATTTTTGTGTGCATCAGCCATCTTCAGTCTCCCTGTTTTCATCAGAATCTGATGAACTGCTGTTGAGCTTGGGACGGTGATTTCCACGAATTTCGAAGTTTTCTAATTTCAGTTCTCTTGCCATCGAAGTGAACCATCTTTCAGTACAGCCCTCTACATCTTCCTTTTCTTCGTAGTTGAAATCCTTGATTTTCTTCTGAGATCGGGTCAAATTCAGATCATCCTCCATGGTGTACTTGTATAATAATGTACAATTACACACGCAAAGGCTAACTCGCGGTAGCAGCAAACTAATATAATTGTTGGTGTAGAAATTCTGGAAGGGAGCAGCGAAGTCTACATAAAGTGGATGTGGAACGATTTAGAGTTCGCTTAAGAGCTTTAATGTGATCTTCCCATGATAGGTTCTCGTCAATTATAACACCCAGAAATTTTGCGGATGAAACCTTTTTGATTGGAAAGTTGTCTATAGTTAATACAACTTCAGGGTGTGATAAATGAAGTGTATGTAGCAGCACTTGGACATGTTTATATGTAACTTATTCGCTCTCATATAAGACTTTAATGGTGACAAAAGCTCATTTACATCGAACGGTTACAAGGCAATATTTGGGTAACTTTGTCACACTCAGAATACCATACCTCTATTCTACTGTGAGGTGTCCTCAAAAACCTTTTAACTCATTATTTGATGGTTGATCTACCAATCATAGCCCTAAAATATTTTGTTTCGAATAGTTAGCTAATACAGGCACTTGGTTATTGGGAAATGAGGTTAATTCTGTCACAATATATGGAATTTTAAATTTTGGGCGAATTATTTATATCTGATTTTGGTTTGAAAGGCGGGAAAACTTTATCATATGATGACAATGTAGTTGATGCAAGTTAAGATCAATTGATGTTTACATTGTCACAAAAAATGATACGAAATCGTAAATAGGTTAAAAACAATGATTATAGAATGAAATAGTCTCTTATAATAACTCTTTAAATAATAACTGATGCGATGTGACAAAGTAAACATGTCTTGCCCCTATTTTGAAGATCTATATATTCTATGACTCTATTAGAATTCAAAATTCTTCCAGAAAAAAATCGGTAGAATATTGTCCAGAACATCAGAGCTCAAGTTTAACAATTTTAGGTTAAATTTGTCAAAGTCACTAAAAATGTGACAAAATTAACTTTTCCTGCCCCAACAATTTCAAGATAGTGTGTAAAAATTAGCATAGGCTGCTTTATTGCCTATATAAATCAATCCAAACTACGAAAAAGATCTGTTAATCTGATGACGATTACCTAACTCTTATAATAACTGATGTGGCAAAGTAAACATGTCTTGCCTCTATTTTGAAGATCTATAACTCTATTAGAATTCAACATTCTTTCAGAAACGATTGGTAGAATATTATCCAGAACATCAGAGCTCAAGTTTAACAATTTTAGATTAATTTGTCAAAGACGCTGAAAATGTGACAAAATTAACTTTCCCTGCCCCAACAATATCAAGATAGTGTGTTAAAATTGGCATAGGATGCTTTATTGCCTATATTAATCGATCCAAACTACGAACAAGATCTGTTAATCTGATGACGATTACCTAACTCTTATAATAATTACTGATGTGACAAAATAAACATGTCTTGCCCCTATTTTGAAGAGATATACCTCTATTAGAATACTATGTAACTTTATCATCAATGAACTAGTTATTTTGCCAGCAAGGAGCTAACAGAGTTATAATAATTTTTTGTGACGAAATAACCCTATTTTTGACCATGTTGCGGTAGTTTAATTGTGACACTGTTAACATATTACCACCCGATAATGATTTATGTGACTGGTGCGTGGTACTAGCAGTGTTGTTTGATCCATCTATCAATATTAGCTTGCTCACTGTGACCACGGGTTTTCTAATAGTACATAATATAAGGGGTTTAAGCTGGTATATCATTATTTGTTCAATTTCACACATGTTCAGATATCATCAAGATTATGCGACAAAGTAAACTTGTTTGTGCCTTCTGTGTTTTAATTCCTTACGACTATTATGATATAATAACAATTCCTAGCACTTCCAGGCCATCAAATAAACCTACACTACTCAGCATTGCTTATCAGGGTCAGGGTGCCCTAAACATTCTTCACATGTTTTCTTAAACCGTTTCAGTCACCGGCTACACCACCCAGTCTAAGTACCTTCTCTGTTCTAGCCATACCAGGGTCCTAGCCATACCAGCGTTCCTTACGCTTAGTACTAGCACATAACTGGTAGTCCCATAACGAGCACAATCGCCCCTACTTAACAACACTCGTCGACGCTCCCTGTACTTGTATTTTGGACATTTACTTTACTATCAATTAATTGAGTATTAAATAACGATCAGATTAATCAATAACTAATTACCCACATTTCCAGGTCACCGTCAGTCCGAGTGTCCATTGTGATTGCCTGAACTTCAGGTCTTACCCAGAATTACCGTGCAAACATTTATTGGCGGTTATTCGTGAGTCGAACGTTGAATGGACCGATCTTCCGCTTTCATTCAGGTAAGAAACGGATCTTGCTTCATTTAAGTATTTATGAATAACCTATTTCAGCGTAAAACTAGTTGTTTGATCATTGCATCCTCTTGTATCTGATAAGAACGCTATGCCTATTTTGATACGGATTCTATAACAATTAATTTCACTGACACTGTATCGCAGGCACAATCCTCACCTATGCACGGATCCTGGTGCTAGCTGTTCGACTCAAGAAGTTAGTCTTCCACTAACAGTACACGATAGTCTTCCACAAGACCAGAGCCCGAAGAAAACAGATAAAAACACTGAGGGAGACCTAAATGCAACATTCGGAAAGCTTGCAGATCTTAGGAGCATGATCTATAAGTTCGTTTTTATTACGCTATAGTTTAGATATCTTGTATTAAGTTGAAAAGGTGTTATTCGAGTGTTATAAAAAATGTCGATGGTTAGGCTCCTAAATTGAAAGGACAGATAGGTAGATAGGGTAAAAGGTAGAAGTATTAGGTGACCTAGAATAACATCTGGAAATCCAAACTTTCGAGAAACCTTAAAATAATATTGTTCAAAGCGGCTTGCAAATCATTACTAGTGTGCGAATCACAAACCTGATGAACAATACCGTGACACAACCAAATTTGCGACTATCTGTATATTTACTCATAATTTTTTCAGTGTTGCTCCTGAAAATAGACGTGAGATGAGAGACCTTGTCTCAAGTGTTATTGATGGGATGCTTATTCCACGGTAAGTAAAATAAACTAAATAACAAAAGTAGATAGATAAAGTGAATATTTAACAAGTTAACACTTTAACACAAAGGTTAATTGATAAAATTAACAATCACCATGTAAACATGCGCTGCGAGGTCATGAAAGCCCTGAACAACCCCCTCCTTCATGAAGAGCTAGCTAAAGTGTTCAACGAGTCTTTCGAGAAAAACATTCACATTGAAGCAATAGGAGCAGGCATCCTTAGTCCTTACACCACTGACTAAGCCTGGTAAAACTCGCGGCCCAGTCAAGTCGATATGACCATTGACCCTGCTGAATGTTTCTAGAAAGATCCTGTCACTGATAGTGCTAAACAGAATAGAGAGAGCTGTGGAAAACTTCACCGGACCGTTCCAAGCTGCCTACAAAGCTGGCAAGAGCTGTGCCGACCTATTTTGGGCACAGAGCATGCTCATATCTGTAGTAATGAAGAAGGAGTTTGAATGGAACAAAGTGAGTATTGACATGTCAGCTGCCTTCAATACCATCCGCAGAGGTACAACAATCAGACTACTAGAAGCTGCAGGATGCTCCAGAGACGACCTGAGGCTTGTACAATACCTCATGGCTAACACCACTCTAGTAGTCAGAGTGTGTTCTACTGACTCAGAGATGTTCTCTTTCAACATAGGAGCCTCCCAAGGAGACAGCACAGCTGGTAAATTGTTTACCCTCAATCTAGCTGGAGCTGTAGTGCACATAAGAGCAGTCCTCCCCTCAAGACCCAACCCTCCGATAGCCGATAACCACATGCCTCTTAAGTCCGGCTATTCAGACGATGTAAAGAAGATTGGTGAAGATATGGAGGAGTTACAAGATATCTTTCAGATCTCCAAGAATATTCTCAGTGAATGGAGTCTCTTTGTCAATGACACAAAGACAAAGTTTACCAGAGTGTATTTAGAAGAAGTTGGTGCCTGCGACGAGTGGGATAATGAGCTAAGAGGAAAAGAGGAGTGGAGAAACGAGACGCTTCTTGGTACTAAGCTTGGATCAGAGCAGGATGTTACTAATAGAATAAATAAAGCTAACACCGCCTTCTGGTCATTTGACAAGCTGTGGTGCCAGGGATCAGAGAGGAGTCAGATAACTGAAAAGAGAAAGATCAAACTCTACGACTCACTAGTAGTATCAGTGCTCCTGTACAACTGCTGCTGCTGGGCCGTACCTCAGCATGTTCTAGAGTCTGTAGATGTTTTTCAGAGGAAGCATCTCGAGCGCATCCTACACATCTATTGGCCTAGCTCAATATCTAACAAGGCCCTCTACGCTCGTACCCAGACCAGGCCCCTTTCCGAGAGAGTGGAAAAGGCACGGTGGACAATGCTAGGTCATGTTCTACGCAGTGACAACGACACGCCTGCCTACCAGTCTCTGTTATTTGCTACACTAGGATGTCAAACGCTAAAGGGACGAGTGGGTAGACATAGGACTAATTTGTATGATATTATTGTGAAAAAGGACATATTTAAGAGACAAATTTATTTGAAAAACGAAGATGATCTTACCAATTTAGTGAACTTAGCAAGAGATAGAGTAGGATGGAGGAGTTTATTTACTTTGAGACATATTGAACGAATGAGTCTTCGAAAGCGTAAATAGGCCAGCACTTTGCTGAGCCTCTTTAGGTGCTCTTTTGTTTATAGATGTTATTATATATGTAAACATGTAAACGAACAATTTATGAATTTGTGAAAAGGTGAAATTGTGAAAATCAGTTCTTTACGTGTCAACTGTCATGTGATACAGTTTCTATGTGAAGCTGAAAAATATTATTTGTATTTTATAGCTGGACAAAGACCGTTGCTAATGACCGCTGCTAATGTTATGTATATGTTACTATCTTGCTGTTCAAATATGTGTAATCTCCTAATGAAGGGATTAAATTATAGAGACCAAGCTAAACCATGTACTGAAAAAGCTTTAAAATCAGTAAAGACGGCACTCAAAAGCTATTGCGATAAATTGTCTAATTTATGGCATAAACCTATAGAAGAGTTTCAAGAGTGGAAAACACTAATCATAGAGCAAGTGAAAATTCAACTGCAAGGAGCTAAACCATATCCCTATTATTCAGTATTATCAGATGTTGAAGTCTTAGCAGATTTAGATGAGCTTCATAAAGATTTTGTATTGGTTCCTACCGATAAAGCCAAAAATAATATTACTATTGTTTGTAAAAAGTTCTATATTAGTATGATTGAAAAGGAATTATCATCGAATACATTTACTAAAGTTAATCGTTCAGAAGATGATATAATTAATGAGCATAAAGCATTCTTACTTAAACATCGTATTAAATTTGATGAAGATAATAGCAAATTACCTTATTTATAATTTATATATTACACCAAAACAGCATAAAAAGCCAGTTGGAGTTAGATATATAACGTCTGGTAGTGGAAGTAGTTTACAACAATTATCAGTCTATCTTAGCATTTGTATTAAATCTATGCTTCACTCAGCTAAAAATAAATCTATATATGATAATAAATTTCACGTTAGAAATGATTATTTTGTTATTGATAATAATGAGCCTATCTTAGATTTTCTTAGTTATGATAATACCCAGAAGGGTTTAAAGTCTGTCAGTACTTATGATTTTTCAACTTTATATACATCTATTCCTCATATTCAATTGAAGGATAATCTTCGTATGTTTGTAGAAAGAGTATTTGATTTTAAAGATAAGTCTTATATTATTCCTAATCTTTATACTAAGAAGGCCTATTTCTCTGATAATGTTAGTAAAAATAAAGTTCATTTTTCTAAAGATACACTTTTGGAATGTCTTAATTATTTGATTGATAATTCTTATGTTACTTATCAGGGTCAAATTTATAGACAAGTTATTGGAATACCAATGGGTACCAATGCAGCACCACAAATAGCTAATGTTTATTTACATGTTTACGAATATAAATATATTAAACTTTTGATAGAACAAGGGGATACAGAAAATCTAAAAAGATTAAAAGACACATTTCGTTATCAAGATGATTTGATAGTTTTTAATGATTTCAATTTATTACAGAATGTATTAGAAGATATTTATCCTAAGGAAATGATAGTAAATAATACTAATATTTCGGCTCGTAAATGTTGCTATCTAGACTTAAACATTAGTATTTATCAAGGAAAGTTTAGAGTGACGTTATATGATAAAAGAAAAGATTATAATTTTAAAATTATATCTTATCCTTTTTTGGATGGAAACGTTCCAAATAATTTGTCTTATGGAATATTTATTTCTCAATTAGTACGATTAGCCAGAATTAATTCGACACTTAAGGGTTTTAAAAATTGTGTTACCGAACTTTTAGGTAAATTGGTTGCGCAAGGATTTAAGTTAGCTGCTTTGCGCAACAAGTTTGTCAAGTTTTATAAATCAAGATTAAATATCTGGGGTAAATATGGTAGTGATATTTATGATGAATTTATTGAAATGTTTCAATCACCTAATATTATTTTGTAATTTGTATCGACATATATCGTTTTTCAGTTATATAAGTTACCTAATATCTATTAATTATTCTAGTATTTGTGATTAATTTGTATTGATTTATTATTTGTGACTTATAAATTAGTAACCATTATTTTACCGTCTAAAAAAATTTGTTTGTCAAATATTAATTTTATGAAGGAGTAAGTTGACAAAAGATGCGCATTCGTATATTCATTTATTGCATGTTTAATTTGTTTTTTGTGTTTAATTTACGATTATTTGCATTTGAGATTCTGCGATTAAATTTATTTTGTTGATTGTAATGTTATGATATTGCATAATTTATTGTAAATGTAATATATGTTTCAGAAAATTATGTAATGTAACGTGATGGAGGTTCTTTAAGCGGGAAATTCCAGTCCAAACCCTGGAAACATGACATAAAGGATTTGTTTTACTTGTTGCATGAAAAGCACTAATATATTTTTTCGACGATGTATCAAAACATTTAACATTCAGGCTTTCGGAGATGACAAAGATTTACATGACGGTAACAGCAACTCGGGACGATTTGTCACTGTTGTCAACGACTTCTCGGGCAGAAAAGCGGACGGACTTCGCAGATTCGCTCCCAAAGCGAGCAAAATAAATCGAAAGAAGTTTCCCGAAAGGAAACTAAATTATGGTTTCGGATCAGACTCTGATTTCGAGAATGATGTATGATTTGGTCGAATTTTATGAATTTAAATCTGATTTTTGTTTTATTTTATTGCATCATTTATTGCTTTATTAATTTTTTCTTTTTTACAAAACAAGTTGTTTTCATTTTAATACAGTATAATGAATGGAACCATCTCCTCTTGATTCCCTGTTCTACGTAACACTTATTATGAGTCTCCGATCGCTTAAAAGAGGAAAAATGTATCTGTTCATTGTTCAAGTAGGTCATTAAAATGGATTAGTTGCGTACCCAAATATTATATTCAGAAAAACAGCAAGCGAGCATTATTGGGATTGTTGTTAAAGCAACCTCAAACAAATTGATAGATTATTAATACACAAATGCTGTATGCTATTGAGAGTACACTTACAGCGAACCACGCTGATAGTATGCTATAATTTCAAATAATACTGAATATAGTGAACTGTATTTCCCAATAATACTGGAGATAAGTGTACTGTATTTTCAAATAATACTGGAGATAAGTGTACTGTATTTTCCAATAATACTAAAGATAGGTGTACTGTATTTTCCAATAATACTGGAGATTAGCGTACTGTATTTTCCAATAATACCGGAGATAAGTGTACTGTATTTTCCAATAATACTGGAGATAAGTGTACTGTATTTTCCAATATTACTGGAGATAAGTGTACTGTATTTTCCAATATTACTGGAGATAAGTGTACTGTATTTTTAATTAATACTGGGGATAAGTGTACTGTATTTTCCATTAATACTGGAGATAAGTGTACTGTATTTTCCAATAATACTGGAGATAAGTAAACTGTATTTTCCAATAATACTACAGATAAGTGTACTGTATTTTCCAATAATACTGGGGATAAGTGTACTGTATTTTCCAATAATAATGGAGATAAATGTACTGTATTTTCCATTCTCTCATGATCAGTGTGTAACTGTCCATAATGTAAAAGTTGTTATCTCACTCTTGTTTACGCTAATATAATGCATTAAATAGGGGTGCAATAACTGGGAGGGAGATAACTATTGTTATATCCCTCGGTCAAACCTCGGGATATAACTCGTTTTATCCAACTCGTCAAACTCGTTGGATAAAACTATTTTCACAACTCAAAGTTGTGAAAATAATGTTATCACATTATAAGCAGTGCTGTAACTGCTTAATAATACTAGAGATAAGTGTACTGTATTTTCCAATAATACTGGAGATAAGTGTACTGTATTTTCCAATAATACTGGAGATAAGTGTACTGTATTTCCAATAATACTGGAGATAAGTGTACTGTATTTTCCAATAATACTGGAGATAAGTGTACTGTATTTCCCAATAATACTGGAGATAAGTGTACTGTATTTTCCATTAATACTGGGGATAATTGTACTGTATTTTCCATTAATACTGGAGATAAGTGTACTGTATTTTCCAATAATACTAGAGATAAGTGTATTGTATTTTCCAATAATACTAGAGATAAGTGTACTGTATTTTCCAATAATACTAGAGATAGGTGTACTGTATTTTCAAATAATACTGGAGATAAGCGTACTATATTTTCTAATAATACTAGAGATAAGTGTACTGTATTTTCCAATAATACCGGAGATAAGTGTACTGTATTTTCCAATAATACTGGAGATAAGTGTACTGTATTTTCTATTAATACTGGAGATAAGTGTACTGTATATTCCAATAATACTAGAGATAAGTGTACTGTATTTTCCAATAATACTGGGGATAAGTGTACTGTATTTTCCAATAATACTGGAGATAAGTGTACTGTATTTCCAATAATACTGGAGATAAGTGTACTGTATTTTCCATTAATACTGGGGATAAGTGTACTGTATTTTCCATTAATACTGGAGATAAGTGTACTGTATTTTCCAATAATACTAGAGATAAGTGTACTGTATTTTCCAATAATACTGGGGATAAGTGTACTGTATTTTCCAATAATACTGGAGATAAATGTACTGTATTTTCAAATAATACTGGAGATAAGTGTACTGTATTTCCAATAATACTGCAGATAAGTGTACTGTATTTCCCAATAATACTGGAGATAAGTGTACTGTATTTTCCATTAATACTGGGGATAAGTGTTCTGTATTTTCCAATAATACTAGAGATAAGTGTTATGTATTTTCCAATATTAATATTGGAGATATAAAGTGAATTGTATTTTCCAATGTGGAAAGCATATTTGAAGTCTATTATTTTGCTTTCCCAATTATATATTAGCAATAAGGAAGTGCTACTACTAAAATGACAACGAACCACTCTGACTACTGATAAAAAGAGTTTTGATGTCTGTATAGACTTATCAGGTGGCCTTTTTAATGATCCAGATATGGCAATATCTGGTCTCTGAAAACCACAAATATTGACTTATCCGCGGGCGCGGAACGTTTTGAGTGAACTTTGCTAGTAGGCAGAACATGTGGTTCGCCGGTGCTAAATTATCACAGATAACTAACGCGCATTTAGGAGACGCGCAAAAGTTGAAATTGTCATTACGGTTTGGGCGAGCGATTTAGAAAGAGCCTAGTTGTAGTGCTTGCTTGATTGACGATGTCAATCCGTTGAGATCGTTGCTCTGCGAAGCAAAGCATCGATTGTCGATGCGAAGCAAGAATGCTAGTTTGCGCGGCGCGTCGAAGCGGCGAAGTCCTCCAAAGTGCTTGCTATCCTTCGTAACGAATCGTACTGACGTTACGAGCTGCATGTGGAAAATATTGGCATCGTCAATTACTCAATCAAGTTTGGTTATTAGACTACAATATTTACAATAAATAATAACTTAACCATTTGCAATTAAAATTTGACTTTATAGCTTCTTAGACTATAAATGTTACCTGGGGCAGTGTTTTTACTTGTCATACGTTGTATGACCCGCCGCCGCGCCGCGCACGAAGTGCGCGGCTCCTCCTGTATCGTCAGGACGATAAAGGGGGATCCACTATAGTGAAACAACTGTGGGGGTCACAACGTGATACAAGCTACAAATATGTTTATAACTTAACAAAACGCGCGCTGAACTGAACTTGTTGAATTGTACTTACTTGTACTTGAAAAGGTCTCCTCCTAGTCGTTGGAGTGGCCTGCACCACAAAGTAACTCCTTTCTCCGGTGTATTAGACCTCTCCAGTGAACCCTGTCTGTAGCTTGTTGTTCTGCATCTTCTATCGTGATGTTATCGACACCTGTGAAGATTGCTGCATCCTCCCGGACACATGACAACCAGTTTTTCCGAGGTCTACCTCTTGACCTTTTACCATGCTTTGGGATCCAGTGCAGAAGATAGTTGGGTATTCTTTCTTCTGGCATCCTCACCACATGGCTTCACATAGCCATGTGCCTACGCGTACTGCGTGACGCGCTTGTTTCACAAGTAGGATCTTTGCCGCCTCCGGCGGTCGCGCGCTACTGCAAGCGAGAGGGCTCTGGTTAGAGCAACCACATGGCCAAACCATCGGAGTCTAGCTGCTCGTACGAAAGTATCAACAGGGGCGATGTTAGCCCGCGTAAGTACATCAGCATTAGATACATGACGGTCTCAAATATTTTACGAGTATCACCCGTTAAACTGATCCTCATCAGTGATCGATACCCGGCTGCGCACTTGTGCGCTGCTGGTCGGCAATTGCTCTAACCAGAGCCCTCTCGCTTGCAGTCCTATCCCCTTTGGAGTGAGCCACGAAGTGGAAGTATTGGTAATGAGTCTCATGTACAAGAACAATCTACTGAACTCGTTTCTCTTCAGAGTTGACAGAGCAGTGGCCTCTCCGCTATGCATCTGTGGCTCGGATGAGCAAACAGCACTGCACCTACTATCAAGTTGTGAGCTTGTGGACACGAATCTACAATGTCAAGCTGAACGAATCATCACCCTGTGTAACAGCGGTAGGTCCATGGTCGATCTAGCTGCTTAGCAGGGCTCCATCATACTGAACTGTTCAAGGGACGAAATGTTTATAAGTGTGTGTGTTGAAATTGTAGAAAGTGAGGAATAGAAAAGATAAGGATTTATTATAGCATCTAATTTTGCTAATCTTGCTACTACTATGATAAAGGATGAAATACCAAGTATATTGAAATGTAGTAAAGTGTTATTGGACTTTGCTTATTTGAAAACAAACACCTTTAAATTAAATATTGTTGTAATAACAAGGGAATGAGTTTTTCTATTTGAGCTGTTCAGTTCACAGAAAAGCAGATATGGACTGCTTTAAAAACTTTTTTTTGGAAAAATTTTGTTTCAGTAACCATTGAGAACCAGTGGCCTTTTGTAACTGCATCTTTAACCTCAGTTTCATTTTGAAACGTCAAGTGACTGGTAAAGTCAAATATTGTGTTCTATGAACATTTATTCTAGTATTTTGAAGTGTAGAAATTGTTAAGATCTTTAATTTTGTACTAAATTACTGATGTTTTATAACGTTTTAACGGGGTGTAATTTTGTTAGGTAGGTATTTAAAATTATTATTCTTTTGGAAATTGAAGTTTTGATCTTTACTATTTATTGTTAATAAAATGCTCATTGTAGCCAGTTATTTTAAGATTTTCATCATCATCATCTTAAGGAGGGTCTTTTAACTCTCCCAACAGCCTTATGATATTGACTGGACTGGTCTGGACATCATAAAACAGTGTGATTTCACTAGAACAGTAAATTATATTATATAATTTCTTTTCTTTTTTTCTCTTTTTTTTATATGAAGCAAAATATTTTGTTTTTGTTAAACCATATTTTCTAAGAACTCCTGGTTCAATTCCAGACCCTATACAGCAAGTTTGACTAGAACTAGGATTTACAAATGAGCTCATTTTAACTATCACTATATCGAGGTTTTGGCAGACACCTGCACTTGATATGAAGTTGTTACATATATTTAACACTCTTACTTATACAGCAGTAAAAAGTTTAGTGTTTGAATTTGTAATATATATGATACAAAGAAAACTCCATTTATTACAGACGTGAGGAGAGTTAGGACTCCTCAATAACTACATTAAGTACATTCCTTCTGTAACGTCCTCAATAAATGTAATAGATTTGTAGTGTTGTAATTAGTTTTCGGCAAAATGGTGATCAAGATTTACTCCTTAGAATTGAAGGGATGTAATATAAAGAGTGTTTGAAAGAAAGCAAACCACAAGAAAATGATGGAGCCGGTGCCTGCAATGTACCTGCAGAATGTCCAGCACATGTTACCCCCTCAACCACAGGCCCCTCCTGCTGCCTCAGATGCCTGCCTCACAATCGTTCACTCTCTTATGTGCCATCGACAGGTCAGATTTTTTTCTATAAATCAAGAAATAGCATTTCCAAATAAAGTTGGCCTATGTGATCAGGACCATATCACCTGTGTCGGTTGAAATACAAAGAAATGCTATTTGAAACTCTGTCTCTCTGTCTCTGTCTCTCTGTCTCTGTCTCTGTCTCTCTCTCTCTCTCTCTCTCTCTCTCTCTCTCTCTCTCTCTCTCTCTCTCTCTCTCTCTCTCTCTCTCTCTCTCTCTCTCTCTCTCTCTCTCTCTCTCTCTCTCTCTCTCTCTCTCTCTCTCTCTCTCTCTCTCTCTCTCTCTCTCTCTCTCTCTCTCTCTCTCTCTCTCTCTCTCTCTCTCTCTCTCTCTCTCTCTCTCTCTCTCTCTCTCCCTCCCTCCCTCCCTCCCTCCCTCCCTCCCTCCCTCCCTCCCTCCCTCCCTCCTTCCCTCCCTCCCTCCCTCCCTCCCTCCCTCCCTCCCTCCCTCCCTCCCTCCCTCCCTCCCTCCCTCCCTCCCTCCCTCCCTCCCTCCATCCCTCCCTTCCTCCCTCCCTCCCTCCCTCCCTCCCTCCCTCCCTCCCTCCCTCCCTCCCTCCCTCCCTCCCTCCCTCCCTCGCTCGCTCTCTCTCTCTCTCTCTCTCTCTCTCTCTCTCTCTCTCTCTCTCTCTCTCTCTCTCTCTCTCTCTCTCTCTCTCTCTCTCTCTCTCTCTCTCTCTCTCTCTCTCTCTCTCTCTCTCTCTCTCTCTCTCTCTCTCTCCCTCCCTCCCTCCCTCCCTCCCTCCCTCCCTCCCTCCCTCCCTCCCTCCCTCCCTCCCTCCCTCCCTCCCTCCCTCCCTCCCTCCCTCCCTCCCTCCCTCCCTCCCTCCCTCCCTCCCTCCCTCCCTCCCTCTCTCTCTCTCTCTCTCTCTCTCTCTCTCTCTCTCTCTCTCTCTCTCTCTCTCTCTCTCTCTCTCTCTCTCTCTCTCTCTCTCTCTCTCTCTCTCTCTCTCTCTCTCTCTCTCTCTCTCTCTCTCTCTCTCTCTCTCTCTGTCTCTCTGATGCCAACTTTATCTGACAAAGCTTTAATCACAGTTATCATAATTTTCTAAACTTTAAGCCTGTTTTGTTGCAAATATATTAAATCTGGCAGCTACTATCCCTTTCAAACCATTATGTTAATGTCTCATTTATAAATGTTTTTATACACGTCAGATTCATCCGATGAACACATCAAATAATTTTCTTCATTGGTTATTTGTGACATTAAGTGGTAAACGGAGGTCTGGCTTTAAATAAATATTTGTTTCACTGCTGCAGTAGGCTATCTATCGTGGACAGGGCACAGGCTGAAATGTGACTGACAATTGTAGTCTAACCATCCAAGAAGTGCGCATTGCGACAGTTTGCACAATCTGTCTGCCCTATTATCTCTTTGGTATTTGTCTGCTATTTAGTCGTTAGACGTTAAATGACATTTCAAGACATGATGTGCAAGTCTGTAGTATCAGTATTTCATATTATGATTCCTAACATAATACTAGTGTCACTGCCTTTTAAATGTTTTATATCCTTCTTTTGTGAGCAGTAAACATGTGTAACACCAGCTTCCAGCTCTCTTAAATTTCTAATATTTCAGGGTGCAGTGCATGGTGGAGAAGACGAAACTTTCGCAAAGCGCGCCATCGAGTCTCTTGTAAAGAAACTGAAAGAGAAGAGAGACGAGCTAGACGCGCTTATAATAGCAGTGACTATGTCCGGGCGCAGACCGAGCAAATGTGTAACTATACAGCGCACACTAGATGGCAGACTGCAAGTGGCAGGAAAGAAGGGATTCCCTCATGTCATATACGCTAGACTGTGGAGGTAACGTATAATGCGAGTACATTCAGTATACTCAACATGACCCGTCGGTACCGTTTGTTTGTTGTTTAGCGTACAAGTTGCACCTGTCATCACGGCAAATTTTAAATTAATAAACTTGAACCTCAATAAACATTTAGATACACTTAACATTGTAACGAGAAATAACATTATGCAGAATTGTAATTTAATTACTCGTTGGACTAACGAGTAACTCTTTGTAATTCAACTGTCTTCAGATCATGTTCAAGTGTATCAAGTATCAATATAACAGACTATAGATTATCTATTACATTTATTGAGATCATTAGAATATATTATATAATCTATATTACATACTAAAATTTAAATCTCAGAGTTGTTAACCCACGCTTCCCATGATAACGTGCCAAATTCCTTAATAATTCTGTGAAAATGTATTAGAACCGTCTAAACTGTGATCAGACCAATAATATCTACTCACCCTACAAAACTGTTAACATGGTTAGCTTCTCTTATATAATTAGTGGAACAATGAGACCCACAGTTAGTCCCGCTCAGGTCTCATACCAATATAATCCTCCCTCTCTGTGCAGATTTAAAGTAGTCTGACTAAAACAAAGTATACACTCACTATCTCCCAGGATCCGCGAGGTCCTCCTCCTCTCAGGGTATTACAGTTATTACTCCCGCCTTACTAATCTAGATATTTGAAATTAAGTACGGGATGTAATTCTCATCGTGTAGTATATAATACAGTTCAGGGAGATCTTCGTTTAAGATATATGACACACGAGACCTTTACGTTAAATTCCAACGGCTACTAATCAGCATCCCTTAAACACTGTTCACTCCGCAAGCATCTCCCCCATGAGATATTCCCCCACCTTTTTCCCAACACTCCATTTTAAGGATGTGTAAACACTACAACACACCCCGGGTATGTGTGTGTGTGTGTGTGTGTGTGTAACAATGTACACGAGTACACCTGGTCAGTTCAGCAGGGAGCTGCACTTAGCGGGTCTCCGCGACACTTCATTACCCTTTTCAAACAGCACCAAGTTCTATAACTCCCAGTATTACTAGCTGTGTTGTGGAGCGTTGTAATAAGCAGGGGGATCAGCTGGTATAATACCGTCTAACTACCTAACTCACCAAATTATCCCATATTTACCGCTGAAATTTTAGGGTCCTCTATACCCCCTATTTAAAAAGTCAATGCTCTGACATATCATCTTGGGCCACGTAGCTTCATAGTTCTCTCAAATAAAATGTGGTGTCCTCAATCTTGAAGAAATGATTTAAATTTTAAGTATTTTATTGGGATTGAACAAATAATACGCATGTTGAGGCTCAATAAACGACTAGCTCGTTGTGAACAGTATGTTGCGTACTTCATTTAAGTTGGCGACATTCTTAAATTCTCAAGTTGAACGTTTAATTGCTCTGATAATGAGTTTTTTGTGAATACCAGACAGCCGATTTATATAAGCTGCACAATGCTTTATTAAAGAATTACTACAGGAAGTGTATACATGAAGCTCTACTGACTTTTTATCAGGACAATTAAATGTCTGGTGTGTGTTGAGAAATTCAATGAAGCTGTTAAAATGATATTTAACTCCTTATCGGACGACACCATATTCTTTAAATAAATTAGATTCCTTATATTTAACCGATAATTTATATGTCGAGCATGTGTATCATTTAAATCAGACATATTTTGTAAATATAACTTTATTAATATCGATTATTAGAGAGCCGCCATGCCAGGGGAACCAAGAACCAAAAGTTCAAGCAGAAATATTTCGGTTGAAAGGCCAAATATAGGAATAAATTAAGACGTTAAGATACAAAACACATATTTATATTAAAGCACTATATAAGGAAATATAATAGTACCTGCAATAACATGAGAATGATAACGAGAAATTTAATTGTATTTCAGGTGGCCGGACCTTCACAAGAATGAGTTAAAGCATATCAGCGTATGCCAGTACGCGTTCGACTTGAAGTGTGACCTGGTGTGCGTTAACCCGTACCACTACGAGCGTGTCATCTCCCCCGGTAAGTAGCAAGATATCATCTAGATATCATGTAGATTCTAGATATCATCTAGATATCTCGTCATCATAGTGATCTGATGTTTCTTTCGTGCATTCTATCGTGTGCAATTAAACATGTACACTTTTGTGGTACTTGAAGCCCCTGGAGTGCATGTGACTTGGGATTTCTGAAGTTTGAGTAGTTTACTGGATGTTTAAATCTATACAATAAGTTATTCGAAAGTTAACGAATATTAACAAAGTATTCGAGTTCTTCAGAATTATATACAGAACCATAAACTTGTCCGAATGTTGTGGAGTAACATAATCTGTCAGATGAGCGTGTAGTTACATACATCATGCAGAATATCCGACAATGTGTGCAGTAGTTACATTACATCTGAACGTGCGTCTCTGTACTCACAATTAAATCCCAATATAAACAATTAAATATTTTCTACAATAAATATCAAATTGGTCATTACACATTACTCTAGTCTAGTAGTCATTACACATTACACAATACACATGGACGGTTCTATGAACATAAACGCACAACCCTAATAAGTGTAAGTGCAATGTCCAGGTAACTCTTAAAAGTTCTCTTTCAAGATCTATGTTGTCATACTAAAACTTCAACCATTTCTACGTCAATTTCTGATCCGCCTATGCAACTGGAGCGGACCATTTTAAATGGTGCTTAATCCCCGAGCCAAGTTTCTATTAAATTAAATTAAAGCGACCTATATTTATCCGTTAAATTACTCTAAATTCTAAATATTCGTAGATATTTAACCTCAAGCGCCCGTCTGACATCTTTACGATCTAAGATTTAAGACTAAAATATTAGCTCTCTTCAATTTGAAGGGAGATGATCGATATTTTATCCAGCACTTAGCTGCAGTCATTTATAATAGACGCTTATGAAACGTACATTCATTGCGTTTGCCCGCACATAATAGCGACACTGATTCCATTGTGCGAGTCTGACGGAGCGGGGAATAGCACACCCAAACAATGCATTTAACAGGTTGACAGTTCTATAAATAATAACACAGCGACACATTGTAGTGTCTCACTCCAGAGCCTACATTTTATTTAATCCGATTTCCTGGAAAGTAGCTTATAATTTGTCAGAGCTGGTCCTACTCATGTATTTGTAAGAGCAGGTCCGGGTGAAGTTCTCTTCTCCCCACCAACAAAGAGAGAAATAGTATGTTCTTTTGGGATGATGATTTTAATATACCAACTACCTGTGTCCTGACATTGGAGCAGTCAATTTCATTGTCTAGACTGGTGATAATAAGATGTCGTGGTAGTTTTCATGCACAGATCAATCAGACGGTGAAATTATACGAAATTTAAACTCATGTTAATGGTCGCTAGACTCGTCACATATGAACATATTATAATATCTAGGACGGCCACATTTCAACGTATGACGGCTGCTCAGTTTGGCTCCATCCTACAACCTCGCTCCTGACATGTAGCGGTCTTCCCGCCTGCACGTGGGCTGTCACGTGGTTAACACGTGTTATTTAGTCTGTATTGATATATCAGGACTGCTATTCAAATAGAAGAGAGTACAATGTACATGTACGGTACTATTTCCTTAGGAAACGTAACTATCTTCTCTTACTTTAATGTCTATAGTTATACAACACCCCTCTCCCCTTCGCTCTCTCTACCCGTCCCTATCATCACATGTCTGCATTCCTCACCGTCTACTTCTAAAGACACTACCATCTCCCAAATCCCCGTCTCTCTCTCTCTCTCCATCCCTCGCTCACTCCCTCTCTCTCTCTCTCTAGACTTCACTGCCGTGCGGACTGCTAATGAGCCTCCACTTAGCCGAACGAAACTCTAATTCGAGCCATGTCTCGAGGTTTGGTGGTGTGTGAAGGTGGAATATTAGGGGAACTAGGTAAAGTCATATTTACAGTGCGACCCATCTACGGTGGAGCTCCCTCTCCCTTTATCCTCCCCCCGGCTTTTATGTTATTATTTATTATTATTATGCAGTCTTGATTATCGTCCGACACATTTAATACTCCATTTAAAATGGTGAATATCACTCTGACGGCACCTAATCACACAAGAATGCGTATTCACAAAATGCTTGGCGTAATAATATGGTCGCGTCTAAATCTTTACTTTGATCTTGCGTTGGGTATGATTCTAACTGGGCGTCTAGAACTACACAATCTCTTACTAGACACGTGACTAGAACTCCGCTCCATTCCACTAGAACTACACAATCTCTTACTAGACACGTGACTAGAACTCTGCTCCATTCCACTAGAACTACATAATCTCTTACTAGACACGTGACTAGAACTCCGCTCCATTCCACTAGAACTACACAATCTCTTACTAGACACGTGACTAGAACTCCGCTCCATTCCACTAGAACTACACAATCTCTTACTAGACACGTAACTAGAACTCCGCTCCATTCCACTAGAACTACACAATCTCTTACTAGACACGTGACTAGAACTCCGCTCCATTCCACTAGAACTACACAATCTCTTACTAGACACGTGACTAGAACTCTGCTCCATTCCACTAGAACTACACAATCTCTTACTAGACACGTGACTAGAACTCCGCTCCATTCCACTAGAACTACATAATCTCTTACTAGACACGTGACTAGAACTCCGCTCCATTCCACTAGAACTACACAATCTCTTACTAGACACGTGACTAGAACTCTGCTCCATTCCACTAGAACTACACAATCTCTTACTAGACACGTGACTAGAACTCTGCTCCATTCCACTAGAACTACACAATCTCTTACTAGACACGTGACTAGAACTCCGCTCCATTCCACTAGAACTACACAATCTCTTACTAGACACGTGACTAGAACTCCGCTCCATTCCACTAGAACTACACAATCTCTTACTAGACACGTGACTAGAACTCTGCTCCATTCCACTAGAACTACACAATCTCTTACTAGACACGTGACTAGAACTCCGCTCCATTCCACTAGAACTACACAATCTCTTACTAGACACGTGACTAGAACTCCGCTCCATTCCACTAGAACTACACAATCTCTTACTAGACACGTAACTAGAACTCTGCTCCATTCCACTAGAACTACACAATCTCTTACTAGACACGTGACTAGAACTCCGCTCCATTCCACTAGAACTACACAATCTCTTACTAGACACGTGACTAGAACTCTGCTCCATTCCACTAGAACTACACAATCTCTTACTAGACACGTGACTAGAACTCCGCTCCATTCCACTAGAACTACATAATCTCTTACTAGACACGTGACTAGAACTCCGCTCCATTCCACTAGAACTACACAATCTCTTACTAGACACGTAACTAGAACTCTGCTCCATTCCACTAGAACTACACAATCTCTTACTAGACACGTGACTAGAACTCCGCTCCATTCCACTAGAACTACACAATCTCTTACTAGACACGTGACTAGAACTCCGCTCCATTCCACTAGAACTACATAATCTCTTACTAGACACGTGACTAGAACTCCGCTCCATTCCACTAGAACTACACAATCTCTTACTAGACACGTGACTAGAACTCCGCTCCATTCCACTAGAACTACATAATCTCTTACTAGACACGTGACTAGAACTCCGCTCCATTCCACTAGAACTACACAATCTCTTACTAGACACGTAACTAGAACTCTGCTCCATTCCACTAGAACTACACAATCTCTTACTAGACACGTGACTAGAACTCCGCTCCATTCCACTAGAACTACACAATCTCTTACTAGACACGTGACTAGAACTCCGCTCCATTCCACTAGAACTACACAATCTCTTACTAGACACGTAACTAGAACTCTGCTCCATTCCACTAGAACTACACAATCTCTTACTAGACACGTGACTAGAACTCCGCTCCATTCCACTAGAACTACACAATCTCTTACTAGACACGTGACTAGAACTCCGTTCCATTCCACTAGAACTACACGTGATACCGGTATATATTAGTGCTCATTACTACAGATCGTCTTTACTAAGTACGAATGATATAGACCACGCAGCTAGGAGAACCCGTAATGTGGGGTTTCTAGGTTACTTATTATATTGCACGTGTATTGTACAAATATCCTGGAAATATATTATATGGGTATAATATGGGTCTTACCGTCTTATGATAATATGAACCTTACATACAATAATTTAGATGTGAGTTTTGTGGATGTACGCTTTTAACATTCATGAAGATAAAATAAAATCGAAACTTTCAGCTCAAATCCCGTATCCATTGGACATCAGCGGATTGACAATTTACCAAACTGGTGAGAGTAACGCCTTAACTCCTTTATAAATGTTGCATATCCTGTATTTCTTGCATACCTGTCAAATACATTAATATATGTTGCATCAAGATGCTTTATTCTGCATAACCACATACATGCCGACACTTTACATGCAAATGACACGAACACATGGCATACAACTTACAAGATAACATCTCCAAAGTTTATGTGTGCAGATGATAATATCGTATTGTTACACCTTAAAGTTCAAACTAAATGCTGTGAAGAGACCTGATTATCTTTGCGTCCCCCCATGTAATGCATGTTTGTATCTAACCCCACCGATAGTAGTCCCCTATCTCGAACTCTGTATCTGATAGAGGGATACTGACCATCATGTTATTTATACAACTTCTTTTTTAAACCATAATATTATTACAATTATAAATGTTGCTAAACTGCTACTCAAACTTTAAAGATTCCTCATATGTTTCCTTTAATTGTACTCCTTCGTAATGATTGGATATTTACTCACATATAATTCCCTCCTTATACTGCAATACTCGTTAATCGTGAAGCAAACAAGCACTGTATAGGAGGCTGTAAATGTCGCTGCAAATCTTCTAACACGCTGTTACACGTGATATATACATAGTAAACATGCCCCATAATAATATAGGGAGTTATCAGTCAGGCTTCCCTCCGACCCTCTTCCGGTCACTCCTCTTTCACATTTATAATACCCTTCCAAAAATACCTGTACTAGAAAACTCTGTCAGTGTCTGAGTTATTATTGGACAGAGGTTGGTGGGTGGTAAAAGTACTAGTAAAGTGTACACAATATGTTGACATGTATCTTCTCTCTCCTGTTTGCTGACTATAGATTAGTGATAAGGTGATGTGTATGGACAGTATAACAGTCAATATATCGTCACTCTACAAGTTGTAATGTAGCTGATAACACTTCTAGTTACTCGATCAACATGGCAGACAGCCAGTTCTCCAACAAGGTAGTATCTGATAGGTGGGAGTATAGTTGTTAGCCAGAACAAGTTGTGATCATGAAGCACACTGAAAGCTGGGTGGCCTGGTTAAACCCTAAAGATTGAACTCTGACAACTCATGATGTTCTCAAGAGAACTCTAATTTCCTGTGGGTTCTCGTGATCTAAGAGAACTCTAGATATCTGTTTAATTTGATTGCGTATATAGTGACTTTAGTATATTGAGATCTCCTCGGTTCCAGGTGGTTTGTGCCCCCTGGACCCAAACTCTGACAAAACAATTAAACTTATCCGGGTAATGAGCTCTGTGTTAGTTTCAAATAGATCACCACTTATCAACTGTTGAACTGAGTGGTGGGGACCGGTGCGGGGGACATATTATTTCCTCTTTCAAAACTTTGCATAACAAATGATCTGTTACTACAGTAAAAGCGGTGCCTTTAGTCTCGGATCTGTATTAGTCACTATAGGATGTTATTATTTAATGTAGAAGTTAAGGTTAAGATCTAAGATTGTTTTTAAATGAATGTAAAAGGTTGGCCCCCTTTTGCCTACTGATTAGTGATACTAAACATATTGCTACTGATTAGTAATAAGAGAAGTCAAACGAAGTTGTAGAGTCACGGTTAACAGTGCCAAACTAAGTTAACAGTAATGTATCATTGCGTCACCAGGCGGCACGGCACAAAGCAGTGTTATAATGACTGCTATACGGATCACTTGTTACCAGGATACCAGTTACCAGGATACCAGTTACCAGGTTACCAGGATACCAGTTACCAGGTTACCAGGATACCAGTTACCAGGATACCAGTAACCAGGATATCAGTTACCAGGATACCAGTTACCGGGATACCAGTTACCAGGATACCAGTTACCAGGATACCAGTTACCAGTAAACCAGGATACCAGGATACCAGTTACCAGGATACCAGTTACCAGGATACCAGTTACCAGGATACCAGTTACCAGGATACCAGTTACCAGGATACCAGTTACCAGTACAGGTCATGCAGTAGCCACCACTAGTTAAGGTGTGACGCATTCTGTCATCATAACATCATGTGGAACGTGTACTGTAGACCTGTAGTTACCAACAAACACGCTGGTATCCAGGTATTACAGAGAAGTGGACTGCTAGTAAATACCAGTAAACATCACACACTACACTCTCAGTACAGGCTACAACTTTACACATTAAGGGACAGACTAATTGTAATGTCCTGTGCATGTTGGGCTGGCTCCCCCGGCCCCGATAATGTGCTTTATCTCGGACACTCAGCTCTTACACTCTACAGTGTTTACTCTCTCTCTTGCTCTCTTGCTCTCAGGTTTAATGTTTACTACTACTCTGTATAATCATCATCCTGTTCTGTATATATATAACGATGATAGGGTCGGTTATAACATACCAGGTAAATATTAGTAGAACTGTATAATGTTGATATATATATAACAACAATGTGGTTTACAACTACCAGGGGACTGTCAGGCATGCTAAGTATTTAGGGAGATCGGCTGGCAGACCAGGCTGGATCTCAGTAACTACAACACACAGAAACGTGGCACCCACCCTCACTACCTACTGTAATTACAGGGGAAATAGTACTACGTCATCAGCCTGCCTCTCTCCTGCACTGCTCTTTACGCAAACTCCATTATTATTATTATATCTCTGTCTCTCTCTTCCGGATAATTTTTGGGGGGATATCATCTCAAGAATTAGGGATATCATCTCGTACCGTTTAGTGAATATCCGGATATTGACATAATATTGTGTGTGTGACCAGCAGCTACTCGCACTGATATTACATGTCTAGATTTGTGCTAGTAATGGAATATGTCACAATTGTACACATTACTAAGAACCTACTGTTGTATATAAGGTTATGTAAGCGACTGAAAGGGGACCCGGTTTGCCTGGTGTGTAGGATTAGGGCGGGTAATTATGGCTGGTATATCTGTCCTAGATGATAATTATACACTGTGAGAGGAGGAGGAGGAGGAGGATTATACAATACAATCCCCAGCATTCCGGCCCCTCTTGCGAGCGAATTGAGTTAATGATTTAAGGGTCGGGAGTTTCGGGTTCCTGTGTGTTATTACGAGGGTGTGTGTGTGTGTGTGTGTGTGTGTGTGTGTGTGTGTGTGTGTGTGTGTGTGTGTGTGTGTGTGTGTGTGTGTGTGTGTGTGTGTGTGTGTGTGTGTGTGTGTGTGTGTGTGTGTGTGTGTGTGTGTGTGTGTGTGTGTGTGTGTGTGTGTGTGTGTGTGTGTGTGTGTGTGTGTGTGTGTGTGTGTGTGTGTGTGTGTGTGTGTGTGTGTGTGTGTGTGTGTGTGTGTGTGTGTGTGTGTGTGTGTGTGTGTGTGTGTGTGTGTGTGTGTGTGTGTGTGTGTGTGTGTGTGTGTGTGTGTGTGTGTGTGTGTGTGTGTGTGTGTGTGTGTGTGTGTGTGTGTGTGTGTGTGTGTGTGTGTGTGTGTGTGTGTGTGTGTGTGTGTGTGTGTGTGTGTGTGTGTGTGTGTGTGTGTGTGTGTGTGTGTGTGTGTGTGTGTGTGTGTGTGTGTGTGTGTGTGTGTGTGTGTGTGTGTGTGTGTGTGTGTGTGTGTGTGTGTGAGCGGCCAATCACTGGACATCATGTTGTTGTGTAATGTTACACTTGACTGCGTGTGGGAGGGAGTGTGTTGTTACATCACGTGGTGACGTAATGTGGTGACGTCATGTGGTGTCGTATCCTGGTGACTTATCCTGGTGACTGCTTTATTCGCATAATAACAACAAGTAATTATATCCAGTTCTGTGTCTGGCTCTATCTCTTTCTCTCTCTCTCTCTCTCTAATTAACACTTACTGATTTCTGGTGTGTCTCATTAAACTGTCTGACACATGTGTAAATAACATGCAGATAACAAGCGGACATAATATTATCAGGTCATAATATCATAATAATTAAGTTATATGCAGTACACGTTACCAACAGCAGCACATTACATTAAAACTATTTTGTAATAGAACATTACACTTCTCTCATCATCTTGATTGTATTCTATGTGCCTCTTTGCTGTACATGTTAAATATCCTCTTCAATTACATTTCTCATTTTACCTCTCTGCCGAATGTTATATTTACCAAGCTTTAGGTCATTTTAATACGCACAACTTTACTTTATATACATGTTGCACAGAACAACACCCTGACTATAAATAACAACTTTGTCAGTGACAACTAACAAACAAATTACTGTTACAGCTCCCCCTTCGAGATTAGTAAAAGACGAGTTTGTGCACGATTGTATACAAATAGAAGGTAAGCTGACTTTAGTGGAATTGTGTGATGTCTGTAATGCTGGTGACGTTACTGTCTGGCACTCAATTTATGCTTGTTATTCATCCTAAATAGGCGTTATATCGTAGTATATATAGGTACATGATCATCGATATTGACATCTTTTAAAACAATCATTGTTTTGTATCGAATTCCATTAGACGATAATGGGGACCGGACACCTCGGTGGAGGACATTACGGTGGAGGATGGTGGGACCTTCCTAAAGGGAGGGACGGCGAGATCACGTGACACAGACAGAACGGCAGAACTAGACACCGTACCAATGATAAACAAATAATTGTATTTAAAAAAATTGATATACGGTCTTCTTACCATATCTACAGTTCGTCAGCCAATGGTTGAATTGTTGAATGACTGTTGATGTCGAAAAAACATTAATTTATGTGAATGGAAAAAAATAAAATTATGTAATTGTAAAATTTGTATCGCTAAGTTTATCATTGGTTTGGCGTTTAGTTCCGCCATTGCGTCTATAGTACCGTGTGATTCCGCCGTTCTGTCCGATCTTAAGGAAAGGTTCCGCCGTACTGTCCCCGCCATAGTATCCTCCGCCATGCGTCGTTGTGTCCAAACCCGAAGAGAATTTATGAAATTCAATGTAGTCAATATAATAGACGCTATTTTATGGGTGAACTAGTTAATCATCTTAAAACTCATAGTATTAATTGCAGGAGAAGGAGGAACTCACACTGTCGAACGTAAAAGTGAGTGTGATGTGATATTATAATTTTACGATCAGGCGGACGTTCAACGTCCGTCTGCACTAACCGATTCAAATTTGGTGGATCGCAATTCTCTTTATGGAGGGCGCTTAAGATCTTTTTACAGAGGTGTAAGCGCAACTATGGCGCGCTTTTTGCCGCGCGCGCTCTTTCAAAAAGTCACGTGATTGTAAAAGATCGAGACTCAAAGGAATTACAGCTTGAAACACCCAAACTAATTCTGGCCTGTTTCATGAGGGTAAAACTTAGTCATCGAAGAAGTTTATCGACAATTTGCAATAGTTTGGTAGGCACGTCCACAATTTTCCACTTTCCCCGCTTTTAATTTTGTAACGTAGGTAAGCGGACCGTGATGTGATGGGGTACGTGATTGTGGGTGTTATGGTTGGTAGATGAAGAGAGATACAGTGGCGTAACGAAGGGCCCCGCTGACCCCGCTGTGCGGGGGGGGGGCTCCATCAGCTTAGGGGGGCGCAAAATCGGCGTTTGAATGTGGGACAACAGGGGGCGCATTTTCGGCGGGAGGGGGGGGGGGGCGCCAACAGGCAACGTTACGCCACTGGAGAGATATATACATAAATAAATACTGAGATATATATATTCACAACTTACTGAGGGACAGATCTAACCAAGTGATACCGAATAAGGGAATTGTGCAATGTGGTGCCTAGTTTAGATCCAATTCTTCAGGGCTGTGTCACACCAAAATGTTTATAACTTTCAGCATACTGATATGAACCATTCTGAGTCGATGAAGCCCAACTATTGCTCTCAACGACATTCAGAACATTAAATGCAACTTTGGAAACTGAGTCTTGACCAAATGACAGATGCTCCTGTCGAGATTCCGCCTGGTATTGGGTTTACAGGGAGACGGCGTTAGGATTTGCTAAAAATTATTAATATACAGCACGACACGAACTAAACTCCTTACTTTGCGACCAATCATAAACAACTGAAAGTAAATGATAAGCACCCGCACAAGAAATCAAAAAACCTTATAGACCCATTTTCCTTTTGTGCTGAACCCAAATTTTTTAAATAACTTATGGTTTCTTCGGAAACCCATTTAAGTTCCAGACATGTAATCCACCAGGTACTTCAAATCAGAATTTGTCTGAGTAGCAAGAATACGTATGAAAAACTAACTTTATTTCAGGTGGCTGGGATAGCGGTTATGGATGCAACAGTTCTCTCCCCACCGTAGAACACCTCAATAAAAACTTTTGGGGTGAGTTGTGCTTTGATCACTGTATAAACTTTCCACTTTCTTTCTTGTGGGGCATTTCAAGTCGAATTTCTTCAGAGTTTATTTGATGTCTTTATTTGAAAATTATTTAAACCAATTATTAGTGATGCCCAAATCAAGCTAACTTGTACAAGTCTGTTTTGGACGCCGTCGTTAACTTATCCGGTTCCTTGTTCTTTACTTTGGTTTCTAGAAATGACATGAAGCACAGGACTACGAACAAGTGTTTCTTTTTAATAGTAGACTTACTTCATTCCTCATCACACAGAAACAGCGGTGATTATGATATTCAAGTGACATTGCATATTATGTAGCCATTATAATGCCATTTATGAATAGTCACGTTGATTATCCACTTCTTATCAGTACTTCATAGCGCGCCACCTCCCTCCATGAGAATAATTTAATAAACTGTTCATTAAACTGAGGCAACCTTATCTGCCTTACAAATAAACCGTCTACTTTGATATTGTACAAAAGCTTTTCCTTAATGTATGCACAATTACAATAACGACACAGATTTGCGCACAATCATATAATTATATGCATATAATGCACATAGCGCCGCATATATGCCATTAGGGATAATAGGGAGACAACTTAAAGATAAGACAATAATTAACAGCAATTGTGAACCAAATAAGGTTGATTAATAATTTGATGTTGGGTGAGATGATAGTGAGCAGCCGCAGTATTATATTATAAAGTAACAGAGATGTTAATCTGTCAGCTTGTCTATTCCTTACGTCATTGGGTAACTTTCACTTCATACTGGGGAGCTATAAAATTGACACGTTAGACCCCGCCCCAGTTAGACAGTATCAAACACGTCACGTGATGCGTTAGATACCGTTACTGGGGTAGTTTTTGGGGTAGTTTTTGATATTGTAAGTTTCGGAAGAAGAAAACAGCTTAAATCTCTGCTGCTCTTGTCTTTAACCATATCTCCGTGCTTGATCGTCGCCTTTCGTTCCACCATTGATAATCTCACACCATTTATTTCTCTACATGATTAATATTACTAGCGGCCCCAACCCTTACTGTCGCCCCTTTTACTGCCCCTTGTCCCCCACACACTAACACACACCAACTATTGATCCACAACAGCAGTTCCAGTCACTGTAAATTTCTCACGAGATCATTTAATAAAGTGCAATATAATTTGCTTGTTATTTAATGGACAGTGTACGGCACAGGAGGCCACCAATCAGTCTAGATTCCATCTGATAAAATGGAGGGTGTTTTGTACGCGGTGTTTTATTATTACTATCTCTCTCTCTCACTCTCTTAGACTTTCTAACAGTTGGTTTAATGAGGTTGAGCAGTGCACCAGTTCCGTGGATTGGTCTGCAGGGCTGAGTCGCCTATTTAAGATGCTTTGAGACCACCCTTTAGCTGTGTAGCATTGAACGAATCCCTAGCCTGAACCGACAAGAGCAAATCAGAGGTCCGGCAAATTTGTCTTTTATCTAATGGTCAATACATGTGCTTACAAATGGGCCATTACCTTTTTATATGGAGACTAGACTATTAACTTTACTGCAACTTAAAGTTCGTATTTATAGTTTTATACGTTATATTGTCACGGTATTTTACCCCCGGGCAAATTCAGCTGCTTACTTTCTATGATTCGTAGAGTCAGCGGTGCCAAGCTTGACGGATTGGTGGAATTTTTAGAGAGGCCGTTTATAATATTTATATAATTGTACGACTTCATTCCTCGTCATTATCATTATTTCAAATTGTTTCCCCTGTTTCGCGTCACTGTAGAAAACTGCTGTTCAAGCTCACTTGAACCCCATCATAGTTATACCGAGTCTCCTATGGAAAATAAAGAATGTGAGATAGCGGGGTCCTCCCATTGTTAGTAAAAAACATCTTCCGTCATTTAACCCCACATTAGCAGTTTTCGCCTTCATATTAAAAAATCATAAATATTTGGATGTGAATATGGCAATGATCTCAGCTGCAGACATTGCCCTAATCAAGGAACCGAATTAAGGAACCGAATTAAGGAACCGAATTAAGAAAACTGTTCTTTACTAAAATTTACTCCCGTTGTTGGCTTGATTTGAGGATCAGTAATATATATAACACTTCTAACCAATCTGTCACTTTCTAACCTAACTGTCCCTAATAACAGCTGATAACCCAGATCCGCCCTCAATATTGCAACACAGCTCCATGGAACAGCGACCACCTTCCCCCATACTTCGAGGACAGCTTATTTCCCCTGAACACTGGTGTTCCGTTCAGTACTTCGAACTCGATCACAAGGTTTGCTTTGTTTTTAGCATCTGGTATGAAATTTCCATTATTTTGCGGCCACCGCTAAATAATGTGTTTTTATATCTTTTTAAAACGATCATTTTAAATTTAGCACTTGTCTTTAGTGTTAGACTCCACTCTGTTTCTATTCGTACTGTTACACTAGGAGTTGTTTGCCTTCTAGCCCTTATATAAGATATCTGCTAGGTCGGGGAAACATTCAAAGTAATAGCGCAGTACCGGGAGGTTAAGATAGACGGCTACGTAAATCCATCCGAACCTAACCGCTTCTGTCTCGGTCAACTCAGCAACGTTCACAGAACAGAGGCCAGCGAGAAAGCTAGGTATGGCAACTTTTTATCCACATTAAATTTTCAATGTTTCGAGATAGATCAAGGTATGGTCTTTAAAAAAAAGCTAACGACGCATTCTGGAAAGTTCCCCGTATTTAATTCTAAATTGGTACTTTCCACAGGCTCCATGTTGGTAAAGGAGTAAAGTTGACGTTGTCAGGAGAAGGAGACGTCTGGCTGGAGTGCCAGAGTCAACATCCCGTCTTTGTTCAGAGCCAGTACCTGGACAAGGAGGCTAAGAGGGAGCCTGGGGACGCTGTCCACAAGATATTCCCCGGCACTCATCTTAAAGTAAGTAGCGCTCTGTTCAGGACAGTTCTGGAACGAAACATTTATTCTTGGGCTCTCCTAATTTTTTCGATTTGGTAATCATATTTATTGAAAGTAACCCATGTGGTGTTCCAGGTGTTTGACCTACATGATTGTTACGACACGATAAAGGGCAAGGCACAGAAGGCCCAGTCAGCAGCCAGGGCCCAGGCTCTGGCAGTGAGCGGGAGCCCGGAGGCTGCTCATGCTGCTCTGCAAGTTGTCGGTGAGAGTGAGTCTCATTCTTTTCTCTCTAGCGGACTTCTTGTTCTTTTTTTAAATAATTTTTCGATTAGATTGTTAATGATCTAACTGTTTTTATTTAATCTTTTAGCTTATTCATTGCACATTAGGTTTCGTTGGTCAATGAAATTACAGTATGAAAGAATAAAATGAAAAATCCTGCATATTTTCTGGATTGATTTCTTGTTAATGTGAAGTACCTGGAAACTAGACTGTTTCCCCGCAGGTCCTAAAGCAATAAACCCCGAAAGTGGAACTCTAACAAGGGACGGAATGGCTCAGATAAACGCTGCAGCTAATATCGGTGTGGACGATCTCAGACGAATGTGTATCCTCAGGTATTAGCTCGGAAAAAAGAATCTAACTTTATCTTTTTCAACTTCTTTATGCCGAGTTTCTGTGCTATTCGTAATATTACTCACAGATGATATAATTAACAAATGCAGTATTTCTACGCTTTTAACCAAAAACTCCTTTTAAAATATTATATTGTTTCAGGTTGAGTTTTGTGAAGGGTTGGGGGCCTGATTACCACCGTGTCAACATCAAGTACACCCCTTGTTGGATCGAAATCCAGCTGCACCGGGCCCTCCAGCTCCTTGACCATGTCCTGCAGTGGACTCAGATGTATGAAGCTGGACAGGATCATTAGCAACGGTTAGTGCTGTCTTTTCTCAGGGTTATTAACTGGGTAAAATTTAGTTTTTATGATAGATCATTCTTCTTCTTGATCAATTTTTTAGTCATTTTCTTTTGTGTTAGTTTGGTTATTATATTTTAATTCCACCGAAGCCAATTATCAAGTTCGTTTTGTAAAAAAACAAATTTCAGGGCTCGCCTGGTATCAGAGTTTTATAACGTTTGTACTATATACATGGCATACAGTAGACCTAAAGACTGGAGGACCTCACGACCTAAATAGCGGAGCATGAGACCCCACGCGTGACCCCTCACGCGTGACCCTACCACGTGACAAACGTGTGAACAGTACCGCGCAACTTAGCGTGACCACTTTATATGCCGTCTGTGATTTGTGAATACTTTCTTCAGAATTGTAGTACATAGATGTGTCGTAGAAAGGGAAAAACTTCGATTCAGACCAATGGACAGTCCACAATAATTATATTTATTTAATTTGATAACCTCAATTTTTACTGAATTTTGTGATGAAAATAAGTATTATAGATATAGATATCATTATTGTGCGTTTGAAACGTTTTATGAAAAGAAATTTGAACGAAATATTATTATTGGTAGAAAAGCTCATGCCCTTATTAGTTATTTTATTGAACCATTATATTTTCTTACTTGCATAAACGTATAATAAAGTAGCGGGGTAAGAGTTTTCATTTTACTTTTGAGCCATTGAAACGTAGGCCCATTGATTTCATTTCTCAATTTATCTGGAAAATAAAAATTATGTTTAATTTCATTATAGTTTTTATCCTTTACTTGATAATAAATCTAGTCGTTTAATTTATTACTTCGTTAATAGCACATCATATTGCCAAACACGAACCAGACAAATAGAAGCAACTAAATGGGAATGGAATTATTATTCATAATTACAGATTGATCGGGCCAGAAGAGATCAGTATCTATTAATATTATAGGGGAGCGAGCGTTCAGTGGACAAGTTGTCTGGCCACTTCAAATAATTCGTCATCTATGTGACGTCATTTGTGAATGTGACGTCATTTGTGAATGCGTCACATAAAGGATGATGATTAATCACTCCATACTCGACTGTCACGTGACTTTTTCAACCCGTTCTCTAGCTAGTCCTGAACGACTATTCGAAATATTTAATAGGCCTAACCCTCTAATCTGATCCCAACCCTAACCCTAACCCAATCCTTAACAAAAGCATATGCTGAAATGCAGGTTTTTTATAACCCTAACGAGAAATTAGACTAACTTCCTTATACGGGCATAATCATATCACGTGATCGAGACAGTTTTTCGCCAATATTTCGTCAGGGGAGCATTTTAAACCTATGTCATGGGGGTGACTCGGAATCAGCGTCCGATAATACATCGATTGAACTTGAAGTTGGTTTTAACTGTCGGGGGCCCTTTTAGAACAATCGCGAATATCGATCAATCGACTGTACTTGTAGAGTGATTTAGCACGCTCGTCACATAAAAGCGAGGATTCATAATTCGAATCAGGTGGCAACATCATAATCCACAGGATAAGAAAATATAAACAATAAAGATACTACCAAACACCTGTTCGTTCCGATAATTATCACGGTCCGCAGTCCATACCGACACGGTCCGCAGTCCGGCATACCGACACCGTCCGGCGTCCAATGAAAAACAGCCATTTCATGTGCTCATCAAATAGTTGATTCTCGTTGCAGACCATGGAGTAGACACATGTGAAAATAAATGTGCATCTGGTGGAAGGACAGTTAAGTTCCCATTTAGACTTATAGTTTCAAATGATGGTGTGTGCTGTCTGTGTGATGTTACTGTTGTCTTTGTCACTATTAGTATCGTTAGTTGGATAAAGTTTCTTCAATTTCAAGCCCACGATTCTAGTATTATAAATTGAACAACATCCTTATCAATTAGTTGTCAATATTAAAACACATGTTAAAGCTGATGATCGAAAATTTACCGGTCTAAAATTCGAAAATGAACGATCTTTACGAATATTTGCAACATTTTCTCCGCACTGCAACTACATTTGACACACGCTGTAACCCCTTTTGATCGGCGTGCACGAGAGGTATATAACGTGTAGCAAAACTACATCATAATCATCATTTTGACGTGGAAAAGGATCATATTTGTTTTATCCAGATACCCTCTCGCTCCGCAAGCTCCTTAAATCAATTAATTCGAAGTTATGATGGGGTCTACACATAACAATGCAGTACACATTCTGTGTATAGAATACTATCAGTTACATCGTTAATATTACATTTTTTATCAACCTCTACTGTCCTGCACAGAGAACATGTACAGTCAATCTTAAATTCTCACTTACACTATGCTAGTGCTACCACAAAATCAGCGATCGCTTTAATTTTCTCGAATCATTTGTATTACCAATACCATTTATAAATATTACAACTTTTGCACACTGCATTTCGTTATGAGTGATCACTGATCAAGATTGTGCACAGTATTAACTATTAAATAGCCGATAGTTATGTTATCATGCAATGTCTGATCACTGATGTTTAAGATTTCGTGTCTTAAACGGGTAATATAACCCGTTTAATACTTATCTGAAATAAATATCAGACTTGTTGATGAGTTGTCATGAGTACTTTATAAACTTACAAATCTCAACAGCAACATGTAAATGTCATGACAATCAGAATTATCCATCTCAAAATAATGGATATCTTACTGATAATGATATCACCAGGAGTAAGAATATGTTTAATAGTAAATTATAGTTATATAAATGCGGTAGTTTAAGTTGAACCATCAATAAATTAGTGCAAATTATAATAATATCTGTTTAACTTTCTCTAACTAACTTTCTCTAACTTAGGTTTCGCACCATCGCAACCTTAATGAGATTCGCTATACAAGTCGGTGTCATTGCCTTTGTGGCATTCTTCATTCTAAACCCCGGAACAAACATAGACTACAACGAGGACATGGTTTCTTGTTGGAACCATCACTGTGACTACGGAGACACACAGATGTTGTGTTACCGTCCTCTCTTCACCTGCGACATCAACTCCGCTGAAGACAACCCCTCGGAAACCTTTCTGAGATGTATCAAGAGTAAGGAGGGTTTCTCTCCTAAACCTGATATATACTGTGGGAATAACTTCATCAGTGATTGCACGTGCGCTCACAGGAAATCAGGGGCTGATGGTGATCTGGAGCCTTCGGATAGAAGTGAACATGTGTACTGTAAGTGTGAGATGAACTTCAGGTTCAAGTTTACGATTGTGGTTTTAGTGGTGGTTTTCATTTTGCTGCTGATTTGTCTTGTTATTTTATGGCTGGTGAGGGTTTGGTTCGTTAAACGAAAATATGATGCGAACAATTCTTTTACTTATGTGGACTGTAAGATCTGAGGGTATGTACACCATTATTGTGTATTACCAATGCATCTAACTATCGTATCAGGTTGTTAACTGTAACACTGCAATAAGTGTAATGGACTTGGGTTCAAACTTACATCAGAATCCTTACAGCAATTTTAAATGTAAAGGTATAGTATGTGGTTTTATTGGAGATAGTTTTAATGCGCCTAATTTAATATTTCCATTCACATCATGACCAGAAATCTCTTTTTGGAACGACTTTAACTATCAATTGAAAATGATTCCAGAATTTTATGCATATTATATCAATTTTTTGCGACTTTTAACCCTCCTCGTATGTCATTTATTTAATCTTCAATCTTCATGTCTCTCAAAATCATCCAGGTTGATAACCGATTATCATTCAACTTCACCTAAGAATAAGAGTCATATTTGAAATTTTGATAATTAACTTTGGACTTTATAGTTAAAATTGGATTTACAGAACTGTAGTTGTTTCGAGACATGTGATGAATTGACTATAGAAATAAACTATGAAGACACCTGGCACTATGTAATTCAATCCTATACTCATGACTCGAATCTCACGGCACTGGTCAATGAAAAATAGAATTAATCACATTTTCTGAGACAATGCCGATTCTCACTGTACTTCTGAGACAATGCTATAGTTAACTGAAAATGAAATTAAATACTCATATTATAAGTCATAATCCACCTGATGGAATAACTTAACTTATCTCTGAACTCTAATTATCTGTTAAAACTCAATGCACAACAGTTGCAACTGCATGCTGCGACCCCAAACACCATATTGGTTTAACTAAAACACTATCCATTAAATCCACAACACCGCTACTAACATTTAACTTGAATTAAAATAGTTATTCAACTAAACTCCCCTTATGCTACCTTTAAAACAAATCCATGTTTTAGCTGATGATATGATGTTACCTACACAGTCGATTTGCACGGTTCTCCTATTAGGACTATCTCTGCTAAGTGCAGTCTCAACTGCTGATACCTCCGGGGCCCTGGCTAACGGTAGACTGAGCTGCTGGAACCACCACTGTGATTACGGTGAGATACAGATCCTGTGTTACAGACCCCTCTACACCTGCGATATTGCAGCAGCAGGTGACAACCCTCTGGAGACAGCAGGTGACAACCCTCTGGAGACAGCAGGTGACAACCCTCTGGAGACGTCCCTGAGATGTATCAAAAGTGAAAATGTCTCTGAGGGATACTCTCCCAAACCTGATCTGTTCTGCTCCAGTGATTTCATCAGTGATTGCACGTGCGCTCACAGGAAAACAGGGGCTGATGGTGATCTGGACCCTTCTGATAGAACTGAACATGCGTACTGTAAGTGTGAGATGAACTACAGAGCAAGATCTGTGATCATCATCCTGGTTGTCGTTTGTATCTTGATAGTATGTGTGGTGGTTGGAGTGGTATTTGGTTATGTCAAACTGTTGGAGATCAAACACACCCTCAAGATTAGAGCGAGGAAGGTGCTAGAATCTCAGTCGGCTGTGATAAAATCACCTGTGTCTTCCAAAGACATGGGAAATCAAGATACTGGGTCTGCAGGGTCAAGTCAGGGAGTGGAGACAACTGGCTTCTAGATCATAAGTACTGGACAATAAGAGACTTTAAACTACGTCGTCAAATATTATATTTTATTGAAAACAATCAAAATAAATCTTGTGATGATGATGACATGTTAAAATCCTGAGTTTTTATATCCACCAATCCAAGATTAAAATTTGAATTCGCATAATATCATTGGAATCTGATTGTTGATTGCATGAAGACATTTTTCTTCTAACATTTTCAAAAAAATTGACGTACACCATGTTTACAAATTAAATACAAAACAATTACTATATTCTGTTACAACAAATCAGGAAGTTATTTTCTCAAAAGCTGTCATGTCAGTGCCTACTTCACTAACTTGAAATAGATTCAACTTGAATAAAAACAAATGTTCTATATTATTCCTTTCAGTGTTGGAAAATGTTTATACAGAAAAGCTTTGCTTGAATCAACTACATCAATGCAATATACAAACCAGTATTCATTTTTTGATAAGAAGTTAAGCTTTAAGGCATGACAATGCTTGAACTTGGAGTTACTATTTCTGATCTAAGGAAGCTGAAGGGTTCTAATAAAAGCGGAGAGCTAAAACGATAGCGAATACAGCAGAAGGTATCAGACTCCAACTTTGGGCTGAGCTGGGTTCTTCTTCTCCAGTTGCTTTTCCCTCGATCACCTCTGGTTCCAGACTGGAAATATTAGATCAGTAAACTGTTAGCAGAGCTTGAGAGCATTTATTAATAAAGGAAACACAATATCCTAGTACTTGATCATGACACAAGAGTAGTACTCCAGTAACCATGGTGTCTGCTAATATCTGCATAGACAAAAGACATTATAAC